TTCTTCTAAGTTCTTATATATTGTGCCTTCATTTTATGGATCTTATTCCCCAATTTAAATAAACCTTCAAATTAACTGAACTTCACAGCCATCTTTGATTACACTTTTTGTCCACTGGGGCAAACAAAGGAACTCAATTTCACACAGGAGGTGATTGGAAGCAAAATGACAACTCACATCTGTAAGTTTAGAATTGCCATTGGAGAATGAATTTAGGAGGTACATCTCTTGACACATGCAAGCTATGTACTCACATGTTACCCAATGATGAACGATGACTCAGAGGCATTGGTTCAAATCCCCTCCCAGTCATAGAAACTCATAGGTGGAGTGGAACTGGTGAAGCCCTTCCTTAAATATCTCCTTTACTTTTAAAGTCCTGTTGGGGGCCACTATAAATCCATTCCAGCTTGATGGCACGTAACAAATCACAGATATCCAAAACTGAAACACTAGGTTTCAGAACTTCTTTCTGTCCTTCTTTCTTTCCCATCTGTTTTCTCTCTCCTGAGATGACCATAAATTCCAATATTGGATGACATCTTGTGGTAGATTCGAGCAGTGCACTTGTTAGAAATGTCTAGCAGCTGTCCAGTTAGAGCCTCTTCCTGTATCATCACACTTCCTTATCAACAGTTTAAGAATCTAAGCGAGACAGTTGCAAAACATGAGCATCCACACATGACCTGTGAATAAATACTGGAAGACTGGTGTCAGTAGAACAAGGTATTCTTGAGATTCTTGAGATCTTCTCTGTCATTCACCCTTTTTAAAAAAATACATGAACAGCTATCCAATTTGTCCCTTGAATCCATTCCATTCTCATTTTACACAAGAACAAAAGGAATTATTTTATAATACTGCTGGCATGGCGCTGTTGGGATTTAAAGGGGGATATATTTTATTTATTTATTTGATTTATACCCCGCCCATCTGGCCTAAAAGGCCACTCTAGGTGGCTTCCAGTGAATACAAACAGTAAAATAATACAAAAAGTTACATAAATCATAATTATAACATACACAATACAAAAATAGAACCAAAATAAATAAAGAACAAGAGAAAATCAAGTGTTAGCTGGAGGGAAGGCCTGAATATATAGCTATGTTTTAGTTGCCTTTTAGAGGTGCCCAAAGTGGGGGCTGCGCGGATCTCAGGAGGGAGATTATTCCAGAGGCGAGGAGCCACTGCCGAGAAGGCCCGGTTTCATGTCTTTTCCTTCTGGGCCTCCCTCGGCGTCAGGCTCCTCAACCTCACCTCCTGACTCGCATGGGTGATCCGGGTAGATCTTGGTGGGAGCAGGCGTTCCACCAAATATCGAGGTCCTAAACCATTTAGGGCCTTATAAGTGAGCATTAAAACTTAAAAGTCGATGCGGAAATGAATAGGCAGCCAATGCAGCATGGCCAGCATGGGAGAAATGTGCTGGTATTTTCTCACACCACTGAGGAGTCTGGCTGCTGCATTCTGCACCACTTGAAGTTTAATGCCCCATTTGACCATTTAACTAGTTGTGTTAAACCATATACGAAGCAAGAACAGGGTTGTCCCACATAATTTCATCCCCCCAAGACAGCACATCCATAGCATGGGGCCTGTAGGTCATGCTGACTGGAGGAATCTGGGAGTTGCAGTGCAAAAAGTAGATTTTTCTAGCTTTGATCTGTCTGTAAAAGTGTATAGAAGGACATGAAGTAACATAACTTCACTGAAAGGAAAACGATGCTGCTTATATACTGCCCATAGTGCTTAAAGCTCTCTTTGGGTAGTTTACAATTTAATTTTTCAGGCTGCACATTGCCCCTTGGTAAATTAGGTATGCTAGCTGCGTACTCAATCTTCCAACCTTGGAAGGATGGAAGGCTGAGTCAAGCCCGAGCTAGCTGCCTGAGCCTGTTGGGATCAAATTTGGGTCCTGAGCAGTCCTGAAGTTAACCACTGTGCCATGAGGCTCCTATGAAGCTTGGGTCATAGTTCCTGAAGTAAAACTTCTCTAAAGCAGTGGTTCCCCAACCTTGGCCCTCCAGATGTTCTTGGAATACAACTCCCAGAAGCCTTCACCACCACCTCTGCTGGTCAGGATTTCTGGGAGTTGAAGTCCAAGAATATCTGGAGGCCCAAGGTTAGGGACCACTGCACTAAAGGACATAATCTCTGTTGCTGGTCATTTATTGGAAGTATCTTCTTTCTCTTTACTGTTTCTCTACCTTACCCAGGAAGCACTGATTTGCTGTATATGGCATGTGGTCTACATTACATTAGGTTATATTTTGATTTCAGATAATCATTTTGTTCCTTATTTTTGTTCCCATCAAACAAATCTGTGAAACAATATCACTAGCCTTTTGCAAAATACACAGTATGTAACAGAAGAAAACATCTGGTCAAAAACAGGGGCAGTAACAACAGATTGGTAGAAATATGATTGGAGTTGATGCTCCAAATATTTGGACTTTCATTGTTGCTCATCCATAACTCCATGTCTACTCCATTACATATATAACTCACCAGCAAATTTGATAACGTGCTTAGTCCATATTTAGAAACAACTTTTCCTAATGTGGTAAAAGATGCCTGTACATCCTAACCAGTGTTTGTCCCATCTCCATATAATACATTGCAGCCTGCTTTGTTTTGTGATTGGTTAATGGAAGATAAACATGGGCTTAATTTGAAGGTCTGATTACCCATGCTTATATCTTTGAGGACAGTGAAGGAAAAACAAGTTAATCCAACAGAATGCACATTTATTTCAATGTCTAGTTGGACAAATAGTTTCTCTGTTCACATGTAATTGTTCCTTATATAAGTCCTTACATGTGAGAAATCTCCATGGACACCTGAGAATCCATTTCCACAAAACATTCTGAACCAGGGTAACTCACTGCAGGCCTGGCAACTAGAAGAGTGTGTGATCTTGTTTTCAAAAGGTGAAAGCTTAGTTTCACAGCAATTTGTATCAGACTCAGGGCAAGTCTTATTATTAAGCAGGGTGAGACCATGAACTCAAGCAACAAGAAAGCACAGCAAACAGTCCATTATTTGATTTGTTATTATTGGACAATAGCTGCTGTAATTCAGAAGAGACACTGGTGGGATTTTTCTGTCTCATGTGTTAAAAAATGCGCCTGGCTTTGGGTTCTATGCAACGTGACATGGACAACATAAAGTGAAGTTTGCTGTGCCTCATGAAGAGAAATGTTTGGGGCAGGGCCAGATCTGGTGTCTGTCTTCTTCCCTTGATCAAGAACTACAGTATTTTTAATTCCCAGTTCATTTCCTAGCTAAAATTTAAAAACGTGTCTTTTTTTACTCTTTCTTCATTTATGCATCGGAAACTCTCACTGATAATAAAGTGATGGCAGGCATTTGGATAAATCTGTTTCATTGTTCCTGATGAATGCCATGGGATTTGTGCGCTGCCTAAACAGATGTTTGGTGTGTTGTTACTTTTTAAATGTTTGACAATCAACCTCCTTTCTCTTCTTGTTTGATTCAGCAGTTTCACAGTTTGCTGGCTCCCATATCTGAGAGATGAGCAGTTACGGGCAAGGGATCCTTTGTGACAATTCCATAGAAGTTTAGGGTTATTCCTGGGGGGTGGGGGTGGGGAGAGTGTCACTTGTAGTTTATAGAGCTGATGCCGAGTGCATAAAACCATCTTCTAGAACATTGCTGACAAGAGAGCGGAATTGTTGTTTATTTTAAACACGCAGACACTGGGCTCTGTCATGTGAAGGGAGAGGGAGCTGTGAGGTTCGGAATAAACAAGAAGGGGAGATGTGGGACATGCAGTTACCCCCTTATGAGCCTAAACCCTTCCTCTGTACCTGCAGCTTTCTGTTTGCGGCAAGAGGCCTTTACTAAAATGAGAGAACAGTATTGATTAATCCAGATTGAATATTTCACTGATTATTAATAAAAATATATATTTTAGTCAGAAGCCACTGCCTTGCTACAATGATACAGCTTCAGATGTGACAGCATTCTCACTCAGAGCAGCAGTCAATGAATCTCTAGTGTTATCTACCTTCTGCTTTGATCGTCAGAAGGCAGGCATTGCCCTGCCAGACCTGACAGAAGCCCACCTATTTCCTCCTGACAGAGAAATCCCAGGAGACCTTGGAGAAGGCACAATGAATCCTTTTCTAGAAAAGGTGGTGAGATAATTCTGTGAGTTGCTGCATGGTGGGGAGCTCGATTCACTACTGTGCCCCTTTGGAGAAGACCAGCCTGTGTAGCCTTGGGCACACTGCACAATCTCAGAGCATCCCAGGAAGAAGGGAAAGGTTTAACCACTTCTTGGTGCTCTATACCTAGAAAACCCTGGAAAGGATTGCCATAAGTTAGAATTAACTTGATGGCACACAATTATAGTACTTAGAAAGAGTAATTTGAACTTTCTTTTACACTATTTCATTCTCTTTCTGAGGCTGGGTTCTGTGTTTTTGCTTGTGTGCTGAGAAGAATAGGAAACATTTTCCCAGTGGTGGAATCCCAGTAAAGAGCAAAGTTTCACCTATTGGAGTATAAATCCTACAAATAAGTACACTTTTTGTGATTTAAGTTTATTCCACCTGTCCATTTATTGAATGGCCTTGTGTATTGTTATTGTGTGCTGTGCTGTCAAGTCGGAACCAATTCAGAGCGACCCTAATAGGGTTTTCAAAGTAAGGGGAGATATTTAAGGAGTGGTTTTACCAGTTCCATCCCCTCCCCAGTGGGTCTCCATGGCCAAGTGGAGATTCGAACCCAGTTCTCCAGAGTCCTAGTCCACTACACCACAATGGTATTAGTATTACTGCCATAATTATTTTAAATATCCCGGGACTGAAACAGTAACTCTGGCTCCTGTGAGCCCATTCTCTCTCCCATTCCGTCGACCTCTTCCATATTCTCCGTGAAGTCCTTTGGAATGGTGACGCGACACCCTGTCTTTTGTGACATCAGCATCTCCGGGCGACCGGAGAGAAAGGTTGCCACAGCAACGTAAACAAGAAGGGAGGACAATGGGAAGAAGCAGAACGTAGCGATGCCGGATCCTGTTCCCGGTCCAAAGGCGCAGCTGTGCCTGTTGATGGGTTTGCTTTCGGGGCGCTGAGGGAGGACCTCGAGGACTGGCGCTTGCAGGAACAGTTAAACGAAGCGTTTAATTACGAAGTGAGAAAGATGAAATTGGCACATAAGAGTACTAAGTGAATTGTTTTCCTTCCTACGATTTTAGCCTTTGTTTTCTTTTTTTCCATCGGGACAAAGAATTTAGGGTGAGCCATATATCTTGTTTCATCTGATGCATTAAACGGATGGGAAAGAGACGTCTATGGCGTTTCCTGAAAGCAGGGGAACCCTGCAAACTAAATAAATATTTTTCAGGACAGAAATTACAGAGAAGATTGTAAAAACCTAACATAGACCCCTAAAAGGTACAGGGCGAGAAAACTTAAGGATTTAGGTCTGAAGGCGCATCCCCGCCCTATCCATCCACAAATATTTATTCACATACCAAAAAAGTGTGTGTGTGTGGGGGGGTTGTTTGACGATCCAGTTCTCTGTGGAACAAGTTTTCCCTCCAAAATATTTACATCTACGGTAATTCATGTGCCTCTTAAATTCCTGTCAGGGGATTTAAAAATATTTTCAGTGCTTCTCAGCCCAGTTGTTGGTTTTCCTCTTGACAGGTGATTTATAGATTTGTGCTTAGAAATACAATTTGTTCATTCAAAGCCATGGTATTTTATACTTATGTTTCCTGAATGCATCTTCTTTAGACATGGACAGAGAAAAGTTACATTTGTCTGGGGTTCTGTTTATATACCAGTTTGGCCTTTAGAGGATAATATTGTACCTATTGTCTTTCTTGTGACACATTATATTGTAACTTATCCACAGCTACCAAAAGAGGATGGGATATAATTCATAAATGTTTTGATTTCATTCTCTCTGCTACATGAGTCTGATGCCAGTTCTGATTTTTATTTTTCAAACAAAGTTGGCAGACTGTAATCTTACACAAGCAAACAGGAGAAAAGCTGCAATTTTATGCTTGTGTAAGAGTAGGTCCCATTGAAGCTTGTAAATTGTCTTCTGCGTACAGGCTAAACAGCTAACTTAACACTGTTGCCCTGTAAATTTTCTCTAGATTATGGGCTGGGTGACTCTGAAATTTTTATTTTTAGTTAAATAATTTTGATCTGAAAGGATTATTTTTTTAAAAAAACCCTATAATAATATGCAAAAGTTGGCCTTGCTTCTGTAAAAAGCCTACAAGCGGTCCCGTAAAATGTATCACTTTGCTTCTGGCTTGCTTGTATACATTACGTTGGGCACATTACATAGTTCTAGAACTATTCCCATCACCCTACAAAGGGAGACTGTTGCTGCTTGAGTATATATGCAGGCTTTTAAATCACATAGACATTTTCATCTGGTAGCACTGGTTCTTAACCTTGGGTTACTCAGGAGTTTTGGACTGCAACTCCTAGAAGCCTTCACCACCAGCTGTCCTGACTGGGGTTTCTGGGACTTGCAGTTCAAAAGCATCCGAGTAACAAAGGTTAAGAACCACTGTGTAAGAGTATTCCTAAAAAATTAAAAGTTATTTCTGCTAAATTTACACATCCTCCCTGTAGGAACAATCTCTCTCTCTCTTTCTAAGAAAATTCTTTCTCTGCTGCTTCATTGTAACTAGTAATAGGAAACTTTATGTTGTTCACGGTATTCATAGGGCGGTTGGTCAATACTGAACCAGCATGATCAACACCAGAGCCAGTCTCTACCATTAAGCAGAGTGAGGCAGCTGCCTCAGGCCATAGTTTCCTATAAAAGCACGCAATTATACATTATTCCACTTGTCCTTTGTTACATTTCATTGGTTATTCTTATGTTTTCACCACCATAGAGATGGTGAGATGTGGCTCCTGTGTCACAATAATTTGCTGGTGTTGGGTACAACCGATGGAGGCTACTTCAGCCAGTAAAAGGCCCTAAGCATGGCCAGATCCACAATGGTCCCCAAGATCTGGAACCATCTTCATCTTGTACTGTGCCTCTTTAAAACTTTAAAGATTGTTTAAAAACATGTTATTCACGCAGGCCTTTTGTGGGTTCCTGTCTGGGTTACTAATATCTACTTTATCAGGCTAAATGTAACTGCTATATTTTAATGTGAGGTTTCATGGATCAAGTCCACTTCCTCAGACAGAAGAGCGAGACTACATGGCAAATATTTATACATTTATACATGGCCGAAAATAAAGAAACTGTTTGCTTCCTGGGCACAAGTTGTTGATTTTGTGATATTTCACACCTTGTAATGACTTTTGAAACTCTTGTTTGACATTCAGTTCCTTTCTGAGGAAAGATTTTTTTTACTTCTCCTTCTGTCTGTTTTCATTTTTTTTTCTTTTACTGATTTCATACTTTAAACATTGCTCCTCATGCTGAGATATATATTGGAAAGTGTTTCTGAACTAAAAAATGAAAAAAATAATAATCCTGGGTTCCCCCCCCTTTTTTAATGATAATCATGTGCCTCTAACAGGGTATGCTAGTAGAGATTCAAAGGCACTTTTTCCATTTACAGAAAAGCTGTCCTGTTGAACCGTCGCTTGCTAAACAGAACAGGGCCAAAGAATTTTACAATTGGAGGGGACTTAAGAGTTATGTGCTCCAACCTATTATTTAGTGCAGGAATCCAGCAACCATTGTACACTATTTGTAAGGGAGAGGGGGCATCTCCTGTCAAACAGCTCTTCCCATTAGGAAATTTCTCCCAGCGGTTAGCCAAAGTGTGGTTCCTTTAGAGATACAGGAGCTTTGCCACCAGCTTTAATTTCATCATATACACAGCTGTAGTTGGGAGGAGGGTTGGGGAGGGGGAGGCATATTTCTAGTGAATTTATCCAAATACAGTATTCTTGAATAAATAGATACAATTGTATCTCAGAAGTATCTTTTTTTGCTACAGATTTGGTGGGTTACGCTGTTAATCAGAAGGTGATTGATGAGTTGGGCCATCTTTCCATAATGCATGATGTCTGTTTTCTGCCATTGTTCTAGGAAGTGAACACCCCACGTCCTTACTGGGAAGCAAGTCTCCAGTGTATATCTTAACCTTCGCTTTGACCAGGCAGCTTGGCTCAATCATGTCTGGAGTCTCTTTCGTGCGTTCCAGGACATCTCTGGACCCAGACTCAGAAGGCTCTGAAGCAACTTACAGTAAGTTTCCTCCATTCACTTTTCCTAGCACTGCCATTAATTGTTTTGGCAATAGGGATGTAATGTCATGATATGAGTAACTGGAATAGAATTCCAGAATGTGACACTTATGGGACAATTCTTTTAAAATGTTGAAAGGCAGCCAGACTTGATGCTTTGTTTCCTAGAGCATAGGCTCTTCACAAATTAAACTTTTAAAAAGTAATTTGCAACAAGAAGTGGAGGTCCAGAGTTTCCAAAACTCTTTAAACTAAACTTAAAGAAGTATTAATAGAGAAAGAGTTAAATACAATAACGAGGTGAATGAAAAAGATAAAAATACTGTACTATAAAGGAAATTTGGGGTGGGGGGAGAAGATGGAATATCCTGGTTAAACATATTCCAAATGGAAAGTTGGACTAGAGTTTGGACTAGAAAAGTAACATACTCCAAATGGAAAGTTGGACTAGAGATTGGACTACAAAAGTAAGAGAGATTAGAAAATGAACAAAATTTGAGGAGATTAAAGACAACAACAAAGACAAGATCTGGGAGAAAGAAACAAAAGAAAGGAAACAGTGCAATATATAAGATTTTGATATATTCCAGATTTGAACAAGCAATGATGAAAAACCAGTGGCAGGACGACTTTGAGGAAGATATATTTTTAAAGAGAGAATTGGAACAAGATATGGTCACAAAGAATAATGAAGAATATGTCTATAAGGGCAAAAGAAGATTGTTATAAGGTAGCATGGAGATGGTATTTTATTCCAGTAAGACTGAACATAATAAATAAAAACATACCATCTCATTGCTGGAGATGCAAAAAGGAAAAAGGGACCAATATGCATATATGGTGGACATGTGAAAGAATAAAGAAAGAACGGGCACTGGTTTTTGAGGAAATTTTAAAAATTATTGGATACGATATCCAAATATCACCAATTACTGCCCTCCTGAAGAATGACCATCTGAAAAAAGATCAGAAAGAGTTAGTTGCTATAATGGTTACAGCAGCAAATTAATCTTGAATATTGGTATAAAGAAATGTGGAGCTTAACAATTAATGACAAGTTAACATATGAAATGGAAATAAGTAGAGGAATGGTAAAGTCTAATAATTTCAAGGATGTATGGAATTTATACTTGAATTATGTCTTTTCAAAGGGAAAAGGCTATATGCCAGCAAAAGAACCAATGTATTTTTTGGACAGGTATGAGGTGAAAAGGGATATGAACTGATATTATTGGTCACCTAGTCCCAAGAGTGAAGGTGGCATGGGAGGGAAAGTCCAATGTGTATTGTGTTTAGTCACTATTGAATTTGCATTTTAGCTTTAATTTTGTAAAAAATAAAATTTAATTTTAAAAAGAATGTATGTGTCATATTTGGTAGTAGTGTTGCTAAGACATTGCTTTAAATAGATTTTTAAGTAGAAATTGCTTTTGAAAATTCAAATTCAAAAAAAAGAGAAGATCCCAAATAGTACAAGGTGTCCCCCCAAATGTACCATTTTGAAATGATGAATGACTGTTATTTATTATGGGGGGGGGAAATCCTAATATTTGGCTTGTTCTTGAAACAATGCTTTGGAATTATAGCATTGTCTGCCATTGCTAAAAAAAGGTACAGACTGGAGTCCAGTTGATGTTTGCATGTTTTACATAACTTGCTGCAAATCACAAGGTGTTGGGATATATCCCCATTACACAATCAGGCACATGACCAGGCACATAACTAAGAAATGCCCCAGCATCTTGTCAATCAACTGCAATTAGCCACAGCAAGTTATGTATACCTGATTCTGACACTAATAGGATTCTGGCCACAAGTTAACTATGTCACTTTTTATGTTTTACTCCCAAACTCTGCCTGCTTTTGGATCACTGAAAACATGAAATAACATGTTTGATAACAAGCTGAACTTCCGTTCTGAAGGATGTCTGTTAGCCATAGTACATGATTATCTTCACTGCATATCTAGGGTGCTTTGTTCTGTCTTGCAATACGATATACAGTTTCTTTAGAAATCAGGACCTGCACACGAAGGAACTGTTTCAGGCTCTGTGCAAAACAGGACACATGGGCATTGTAGTTTCTGTGACTTGAGCATTCATGCAATCATTTTGTGGCTTACTTTCCTGTAACTTTTTTTAAAATTATGTCTTACTCCTGATAGCCATATGACTAAGCATCTGATCTTTATTGGAACAGGGCAAAGGCTGGCATCTCGGCAAATAGGAGATGTGTTTACAGCTCCCTCAACCAGGTCTGGACCAGAGACAGCAAAGTCAGGTAAAAGGAACTTGCTGATTTTTTTAAATGGCTGGCTTCTTTTGTGGGTTAGGTCCCAGTCCCACCACGCCAGCAGTCTTCTGGCTTGATTTGGCTACACAGCTAAGAGATGGGCAGAAGGCAGATCAGGGTCCACTGGTAGGCTGTTGAGTAAAGTGCAATAGATGAGTGGAGATGCTGGGATTCTTCGTGTTCCCATTGTTTGCAAGAATGAAGACAAACAAGCAAAGAGGTGTCATAATCCCTGGCATCTAATACTTTCAATGTAGTTTTGTACTTGTGGGTTAAGTTGGTTGATGTGGGAGTTGCATGTAACGAATGCCAGGCCAAACTGAAGATCCTCTGAGGGGCAACTGAGACACACAGCTGGCGGAGCTTGAAAATGTTATTGTTTGGACTACAACTTCCAGAATGCCTCAGCCACTAAGAGAAGGGCTTTCCCTGAATATTTTAAAAGCCAAGAAGGTTCGTATCTCTCCATATGAGCCTTCTCAGCACCTAACCCTGAATATTTTAAAAGCCAAGAAGGTTCATATCCATATGAGCCTTCTCAGCACCTAGGAAGGGAGAGCCTTTTCACACTCACACTGCCCTCTCAGGCACATCTGGTGGGGACGCAAGAAAGGGCCCTTTCGGTGGCTACTCCCAGGTTGCAGAATCGTCTCTTCAGAGAGGCTAGGCTGGCCCTTTCCCCCTTCTCCTTCTGGTGATAAGTGAAAACCGTTCTTTTTAGACAGGTTTTTAACAACTAATGGTGCAGTGAAGAGTTTTTATTTTGTTTGCTGTACATTATTGTTATTTTATGTATGTTTGAATAGGCTTTTATAGGTTTTAAAACTGGTTGAACTAATGATTTTAATACTATTGGATATTTAATTGTTTCTAAATGCAATAATTTATGGTTGCTGTGGGTTTTCTGGGCTGTTTGGCCATGTTGCTAAGGTTTTTCTTCTTAATGTTTCTCCAGTCTCTGTGGCCGGCATCTTCAGCGGACAGGAGTCAGAGCTCTGTGCTCTGGTGCAGTTTGTTGGATAGTTATTTATAGCTGTGGAATCAGCTTTTGTCCTTTTCAGGAGATTGGGTGATTATGGTGATCAGTGTGTTTTTTGTTGTGGGTGTATTGTTGTGATAAGGGGGAGGGATGATCTGCCACTGTGATTGATGGGTGTCTTTCACTATTCTTTTGTGTGCAGTGATCACCGGTCCTTGTGGCTGGGTAGAGTTTGTTGACCTTTTGCAGGCTGTATTTTTCAGTGCTGGGAGCCAGGCTTTGTTGAGTTGAGGAATAGCCATTTGCCTGTAGGACCCAATTCAGATGCTTGAGTTCGGTCCTGAGAAATTGAGCTTCACAGAAAACCCACCTACACAGACCGGTACCTACACAAAAACTCCAACCACCACCCATGACAAAAAGAGGCATAATCAAAACACTGGTAGACCATACAAATCGGAACTGTGAAGCTCGATTTCAGCCACCCACTGCAGACTAAAACTACTGGAAAAATCAGCAGTAGCTAAACATGCCCTAAAACAAACTGGACATGAAATTCTATTTCAAAATACGGAAATACTGGACAACACCAGCAATGTTAGACTGCAGAGGGAAGCCATTGAAATGTAACCATAACAACCTGTACATCCCTTATATGAACACCAATAGGTCTCTGCCCATAGTCCAAAAAAAGCACCATTTTCCTGTTAACTTGCTCATGAAAACTGCAGGAAGCAGTACTGCTATTGCTGCTTTATTGATATCAACCTTTTCTTTTCTTGCAGATTCAGCTCAAGAAGGAAATTTGTTGTTTGACAAAAACCCATTTAAAATCCCATCAGACATTGATATCTTCTTATTACGAGACAAGCAGAGAGAAAAGGCAAAACTTGTACGTAGAAATCACAAGTGTCACAAATTGATGTGATGCCCTTGTCAGCTGCCCCTTTTTCCTTTGTCATGTTGTTCTCAATAAAGGGTGGTGAGCCGTCCAGAAATTGTGGGACTGTAGCTCCCAGCAGTCTAGCCAGATAGCTGTTGGTGAAGCATCTTGGAAGCATCTGGAAAGCCACGGATTTCTGTCCTCATGCCCGTTCCCCTTATCCCGAGTCAGAAGCAAGCCTCGGGAGCCATCCGTTCACACACAGTACAACTATGACTATATCTAAGAGAATCTCTGAGCGTACAAGAATGAGGATGGGATCTTTAAAATCCTGGTGCAAAACAACCCTGGATTGGAAGGCCCAATCAATGGGCTGACCGACAGCTGGAAGATATACCAAAAATGGAATCAAATTGAGAGTGTGGAGGTGGGGAGTTAATTTAGAAATGGGGAAATGCTAAGGAAAAAGATGACTGGCCCTATAATATTGGTTGGGGTTGAGGTTGGTCTTAGTGACCTTTCTGGGACCCCTAACAAGCAGTCTCTTGAAATTTGAATTCTGTGCAACTCTAAGATTTCAGTAACTAGATCTGTTGAAGAGACATGTGGCCATGCTGGCACCTGGTTAGGAGAGCCTCCTTTGCGGAAAGGCTGCAGCCCCGTGGTGTTCATGCAGACGTTTCCTAGATTGAGGCCATGGTAGACTCTGAGTATGGCTGTTGGAAGGATTGTCCATGAAACCCCAAAGAGCCACTGGCAGTCAGTTGGTGCACGCCAACTCCAAACGGATGTCCCAGGGGGCTGATCTGATGGAAGGCAACATCCTACATTTCTATATTCCTGCACAAACCAGGTCCTCTCACCTTATCAAATGGGAAAGGACTACTTTAGTAAGGCTTTCAATGAGGGCAAGCGGCAGAGCCGAGAATCCATACGAATGGTCAAAACAAACTGGATGCTCCTCTAGTTACTGCTCCTCTAGTTACTTCCAGAGCTCAGAAGAGTTACTTCTTGGACTCCAGCTCCCCTAGCCAGCATGGGTCCAGCCACTGTGCCATCTTCCAGGTAGTTCCTTTGGGCCACCTCTCTTTAAAACTGGTAGCAGGGTTTTGGCAGTCCTTGACAAGCCATCTTCTGGAGGCCTTAGTCTATCCCTTTGTACCTGCAGGAGCGAGAGCAAAAGAAGTCCCTGAAGGTCCATGAGAAGATGACTTCTGCCACTCTGCAGAGTGCCAAACAGTCTGGGTTCAAGAAGGCCATCCAGATGGAAGAAGAAGCTGAGGACAAAGAGTTGGCAGCAGAAGCCGAACGACTGAAAGCTCTCCGAGAAAGCATTTCGTGGAAGATAGCTGTCACAAAAGGTAACCTAGGAATCGCATGGAAACCGCAGGGGCAGAACACATTTGCTAAACTTGCTAAGTGCAGATCCTGACAAGCGTGTAACATAACTAGGACTCCTAGCACCCAAGTTTCTGATGAATGGTGGTCAGCCAGTGAGATAATCTGCTGCTACCCATTAGCAATCTCCCCTGTGCCCTCTGAGATTAGCTATAATCCTGGGGGACTCGCAGATTAGTATCTATGAATGAGAGTGTGAGAATGATCCCAGGAAGAATATATTGTTGTGAATTATTTCTACAGCAATCAAATATGTTTTTGGTGTAGATTGGTTGGGAAGGGGCAATTAAGACCCATTAGCTTTGCAAATGACCTGCTGCTGATACAGGGAGAAAAATGTTGAAATGAATGCATTAATAAAATGTAAATGGCTTCCTGCATTTTTGCACTGTGCTTGTGTGTATGGCTGTGAAGGGTGCCACAATGACACCCTGCAGTGAGATCTTAAGGGGCTACTTTTTATAAAGAACTAATTGCGTAATTTGGTACTTCTGAGCAGCAGTAATGAATTGCTTTATCATTGGCAGGAGGCCAGAAAAATACAGGGAAACACTCTTTTCTTCCCTCTAGTGGCCAGTAATTATCCTGCACTTTGCAAATATTTATAAAAATGCAAAAGACAATAACCACTTAGGACTCATGACATAAACATGAAAAAAGAATCCTGTGAAAATGCCTTAAAATGTTTTCATTTACCCTTTCAAAGTAACTTTGAGAAGTAATTAGAATGTTACTCATTAGTTACTCAAGGGTAATTTTGTAACTTTCTTATATTACTTTTATTGTAACTTTGTAACTATTTGGCACATCACACGTTATACAAAAAGTAACAGGGAACTAACTACACATTATGCAACAATCTCTGCCTGAACTCAAAATTTATTGTTGCTTCAATGTTCCTTACATCTCCAACCTTTTGAATGGGACTAGAGCTACGCACGAGTAGGCCAATTATATGGATAGGTTCCAAAATGTTTTAATGTAGTTCGTGAGCTGTTGGTTTTTAAACCAAAAGGAGTAATGACAGGTTGCAATTATTAGAAGAGGACTCCTCTCCCCATGGGGGAGGGGGTCGGCTTCTGCTTGACATTTTCCTGTCCTGCAGTTTTCTCACTCAGAACTGTGGGTACTGCCAACTCTTCTGGCACCAAAAAAAAAANAAAAAAAAAAAAAAAAAAAAAACCTAAACATTTTGGAGAAGGAGTGGGATTTTCAGTGGAGAAATGGCCAGAGGGAATGCATATATGCTTCCTATTGCCTTAAAAAAAGCATTGGGAAAGCATGCATTCCCTGAGATAGGGAAAGAGGCTTGGCTTTGGACCTCGGCAGTAGCTGTTGTCACACAGAATTGCACTAACAGCCCGAACTGCTTTGAGCTAATCTGTATTTATTGTGCCTGCGGGGGGGGGGGGACAAATTGGATGCCTCTGGTTGGACTGAACATTTGGCCCCAACTTTCTTGTAACATCCTCACACAGCAAGGCTGGGGCTGCCTGTAGTAGGGTCAGAGGTTGCAGGTGGGCTTCTCTTGGGCAAGGGAGGGAGATGTAAAATACCCCAAAATAGGGGGGGGATGAATAATTGGTCTCTTTTTTGTATTAAATGGTGTTGAGTGAGGAGAGACAGCTATAGAGGGGGGTCATCAGGGTTCCAAACGCTGTACTTCTAAAGATCTCCTGTGGGTTTTGTTGTCTGAGAGGGAGCAGCAGAAGGTCCTCTCCTTCCCATCCAGATCAAGGTGCACAGCACTCAGAATTAGCTGTGCAGCTTTGGTACATGTGGCAGAAAATCCCACATACAGCTTTCCCCATCGCAGGCAGTGACCATTTGTTTGCTTGTTAGTTGCTAATTAGAAGGGAATAAATAGTACACAAAATTGCCTCCAGCATTGTAAGTAAGTGAATGAATGAATGAATGAATGAATGGATGGATGGATGGATGGATGGATGGATGGATGGATGGATGGATGGATGGATGGATGGATGGATGGATGGATGGATGGATGGCTAGATAGATAGATAGATAGGCAGGCTTTCAACCGGCATAACACAGGCTGAGAAGCATGCAGCCTTCCAGATGTTGTTGGACCATGCTATTATGATGCTTAGCCAGTATGGCTGATGGTGAAGAATGCTGATGGTTGAAGTCCAACCACATTGGGAGGGTGGGACACACATTTCCCATCTCTGTATTTGTTTTGCATGTATTTTCCTTTCTGGCTATCACCAGTGTATTGTTTAAGCTGCATGTTCTAACCTGCACATATTTATCCCTCCTTTCTTTTTCTGCTCCCAGATCAGGTTGTAGAAAGAGAGACCATTCATGATTACATCAATCAGAAACGGCAAATGTTCTTGCTGCAGGTATTTGAGTTTGCTAAGCATTTATTGCGGGGAGCTGTTCTTAAAACCTGTTCTTACATAAGCCAGCTGGGGAATCTTCAGTAGATTCAGCTGAGCAGAGAAGATAAACATGGAAACTACATGTTCCTGAATTATCCTGAGAACACCAGGATCCAAATATAATAATATGTGAAGGTGCTATCTTTCTGCATGCAGGGAGATTTTGATGTAAAGCAATGGTTCCCAACCTTGGATTCCCAGATGTTCTTTAATTACAACTCCCAGAAATCATGGCCAGCACGACTAGTGGTCAAGTCTTCTGGGAGTTTTAATCCAAGAACATCTGGGAGCCAAGGTTGGGAAACACTGATGTAAAGGAATAAACAAATGCACTGCCCTATAGTCTACATTCTTTAGATGTATTCTCTTTACAGGAGTATACTATACCACATGTTTTCCCCATCAGTTAGTTACCACAATGTTTTGAACTGTAGACTATTTCAAATAATAATTTAATGATTGAATGTTGTGTTGTTCTATTTTGATATCTGAAAAATTTGAAAGCCAGTAAATCCGAATGACACATCCAGGCAGAAACTGTAGAAGTGTAATTGATTGAATCTCCAGTTCAAGTTATTTGTTTTCCTTTTCTTTTTTATATATCTTATTCGCCAGCTTCATTTCACTTCTCTTTTGGATTAAATTTCAGTATGCTGTAGCTGTAAAAAAAGATGAAATTCAGAAACTGGAGAATTTGGCCATTCAAGAAGAGGCAAAGCTGGAGAAAGCTGAGGAAGACCTAGAGAAAGATGCTGCCATGTTTGATGAGTTCTTGAAGGAGAATGACCGAAACTCTGCTCAAGCTCTGAAAATGTAATGCTGGTGTTTAGTCTCTTTAAACATATAGGAGGGAGCAAGGGAACCAACCAGATGTTGGTCAACTGCAACACCGATCGCCTCTAATGAACATAGGCAGTGATAAGCACTGTTCACAAGCCAAAACAATCTGTAAGACCAAACATCTTATTTATCCTCCCATTTTGACTTTACTAAAAATCACAGCTGGCAAAAGGAACGTGGGAACGTAATTAGGGCGTTTCCTTCAGGGGCTGATCTGGAAATTCAGTGGAATTAGCCAAATGGGACCTTTGAGTCCAATATCCTTCCAGCTGTACAATTTAAAAAGTAAGAAAGAAATATAATTTGTGAGGCAGATATAAGAGTGTAACTAGATGTAGATCTTTTGTGTATATACCAAGGGGGGGAAACATGAAAAAGGCTCCCTCTTTAGGATTCATCTTCTTTCCTTGATTACCAAGAGCTGTTTAAACATGAATGATTCATATGAATGAAAGGGGTAAAGAAAAGGTTCATGTTTCTTTCATTTAACCATCTTTTTGCCCTTTGTCAAATTGCCTGGGAAATTTTTCATCTAATTGCATTGCAAGGGCTGTAGTCAGCAGCCAGTGTCCTTGAGTGGTGAACAGGACTTTTGAATCTGTAAAAGGGCCTGGCTTGGTTAGATTCCAGTGATGAGTACCCTTTCTTTGCTTCAGTCTTACTGCATGGGCATGTGAATTCCTAGTGCACTCTATCTTGGATTTTACTGCCTGCTCATTGGCTGCCTGCTTCTGTGCCTCCATCTTGGATCTTTTCTTCCCTCTATTCCCCTCCAGAAAAGGGGATGAGATCCTCCTCTCTTTTTCTTTGGACTAAATGTGCTCCTGGCACCAGGCAATTTGCCTGTGCCAGTGTGCCTTTTTTGGGATTATTTTTGGATCCACTTTACTCACCCCGACTTATGCATTCATTCTTCACTTAACTGACCAACCAAAAGAAAAATAGTTAACAAGCATTTTAGAAGAGTTGGAAAACTCCTCTAAGTGGAGTCATGACACCTCAGCATCAACCAGTAATTTTTCTCAGTAGCTGAATTTTCCCTGTTCCGACTCAGACTTCTAGAATCACTATTTTCCCTGTTTCCCTCAAATGTCATGACACCTCAGCATCAACCAGTAATTGTTCTCAGTAGCTGAATTTTCCCTGTTCTGACTCAGAATCACTGTTTTCCCTCTTTCCCTCAAACCAATCAGTCTACCAGAAAGGAAGGGGGAACGTCATGCACATCTTTACAGAAGAGCAAAACTGCTGTTCTGAGAACAGAATATTTTATTGTAGATGCTCCAAAAAGGATGAAAGTATAGGCCTGCATGCATATATCCATGTGTTAGACTCCATAGATTCACAACATAATCTGAGATATCCAAAAGAGAGGTTGCTCTGCATGGAAGTTAAGTGTTGGTTTTAGAAGAGTGGGCTTGAGTCACTGCAGTGACCAATAAAATCACAGAAATTTAATTCATAGTGCAGATGGAGAGGGAGGCCAGGAATGGATCTAAGGGCCAAATGCTACATTACAGATAACCCAAAATTGGGTAAATGCAGGGTGTGTGTGATTGCTACAGTAGAAGCAATCCTCACCACCTACAATTGCAAATTAGCCTGCCTTGTTTTGTGACTGGTCTTCAAGTCTTAAGCACCATCATATCTCCTGAACACTAACTTGATTTCAATGCTTAATGGCAGGTTATCTGTAATGTATAGTTTGGCCCAAAGACTGAAAGAAGCTTTTATCTCCCCTAGCAACTACTTGTGCCTTTTCAAAGATGCCTGTTTCAGATGTTGAAGACCATGCCCACCTCTGGTAAGTGCGTATCGCTCTCCACTATTTTGCACGTAATTGCTGTAATTTGTCCCTTCTTATATAGTGCTGAAAAAGAAACAAAGGCCAAGTTGGAGAAAATAGTTGAGATCCGAGAATTGACAGCCCAAATGATGAACATACAAAGGTAATAACTGCTCAGAAAATATTGGAACTGACAAGATAATTAGCTATTTTTTTCTTTTTCTTCCTGGTGGCTAGCCAATAGTACACTGGCTTCATAGAGTCCCGTTCACATGTTTAGATTTCCAAGACTTGCATGCTCTGTGTGGGACTTCACAGGGTGGCCTCAGGGCAAGACCTAACTGTTCTATTAACATGCAAATAGAAGTAGAAGTTCCTCTCTTTATTCCACCACGAATTGCCTCATGCTTCAAAATGCTAATTAGCTTGTTTTGGCTTTGTGATTGGTCACTGGAGGTCAACGTGGGCTTCATCTGACTGCTGAGGTGCAGAACTTTTAAGGGTCTGCATGTTGAAAGAGAGAATAGCAGGAAATACACATTTCTTTTAACACGTAAAAAGACTGTCAGTACCCAGATTATGGAGAAGAGCCCCAGATTCCCTTCCCCTGACCACCATATACACTCCTCTACAATCTGTGCCACCCTACCCTTCCAAATATGGCAGCCAAGGAGATCATGATAAGAAGTAAAACAGGAAGCCCTCTCTTTCCCTGCCCTAATTTTAGCATTGTGGGGCTTGCTGACTCCTCCTTGCAGTTCCATCAGCATCACTGGGAGCAAGTCCCCTCCCCACCATACAGCCTTGAGGTGCTCAACAGTATCTGCTCCAGAAAGCTGCAAAACTCTGTACGACATTGCGCAGGAATTATTTTTGCCTTCCCACATCCACTGAGGGAGCTTTTCTTTCAGCGGATATACAGCGTTCAGTCCTAGCAAACAATAACCTCAGTAAATTGAAACTTCATTTCCAAAGATGTAGCCATGTTAGTCTGCTAAGGGGAAAAACAGAAGCAGAGAGAGACTGAGATTGAGAGCAAAACAATGTGCTGTTTTAAAATCTGGCTGATTTATTTTAGTGTGAGCTTTTGTGGATCAAAATCCACTTCTTCGAACGAAGAAGTGCAAATATGTGTTTTCTATATTTGTGCAAAAACAAGACCTGGAGCTGAGTGCGGCTCTGATCATCAGCTTCTCATAGCAAAATTCAAGCTTAAACTGAAGAGAATAGGAAAAACCACTGGGCTACTCAGGTATAATCTAAACCACATCCCTTATGAATACACAGTGGAAGTAAA